TGCAGTAGATGTAGGTTTGTGGGCGATTGAGGGCGGACAGGAGTGGTGTTACTTAAAACAAGACAGACTGGCCAGGGGCCAAATGAGGGAGAGGGATGTGAGAGAAAAACACAGTGACAGAAAGCAGGTGGGAAGGATAATGTTCGTCTGTGTGCTAAACTGACAAAATGAGAGAAATATAGCGGCAATGTGAGAGAGAGTGATGGAAACAGTGGGAATCTGTGTATGTGGGAAAAATGATGAGAAATTTGTGAGTGTATGAAAATTAAAGCGTTAGAAGTTGAGTACTTGACATTGCAGCCTTTTAATTTCCCCGAAAAATCGTTGCTGTTCTATATTTTGTGTATTTGCCCATGCCTGTCTGTGTGATAGGGAAGTCATAAAGCACTAGTGTGTTCACGGATGTGGATGTGATTAAATGCATAGAAATGTGTGTCTCGTGCACATGCACAAGCTCGCCTCTGGATTTAGCAAAGCAAAAAAGGGTGTAAATACAGCAGGAGTGGAGTCAGCAGCAGGAGCAAACATGATGCACAGAAAAAGTTAGACAGTGCCTTAAGGAGCTTAGAGGGGGGGAGAGTAGAAAATGTGAGGAGTAGGAGGGTGAATGAAGAAAACAGTGAGGATAAAGGAAAAGAAGCAGGGCTGGAGGGACTGAAGGGAATGAAGGGGGGAGAGTCAGAGAGCAAAAAGGTGGGGTTGGGGTGGAGTCGGTGTGCTCTGACTTGCCTCTTCATAAACAGGGATTAATTCAATAATCGCTCGGCGATGTTATGCATATATGTGAGACCTGGAGACCTGTCAAGACCTCAGAGACACGCACAAGTTACAACAAAATCCCACTGCAGTGGTGCGCATGTGACGGCTCCAAAAGTTGAAGATCCGGGGCTTTAAGTTTATCTGCTGCTTATTGCGGAGTGTCATAAATGTCAGCTCTGCTATAGGCTTTGCAACCATGTCAGCTCATTAGCACTCGATGCTAAAGCACACACACTTCAAACCCTCAAGAGCATGAGAGTCAGCAAATTAAGTGCCAGAAATGCAGTCGAGAAGAAGAAGAAGAAAGCTTATCCTTGTGATGTGATTCGTTTATCATCGTGTCTCCATTTCCTTCCGTCTTTGTCCTGCTTCTTCTTCATCTGCTCCTTGCCGTCTCTTTCTTCTTCTCTCTGCCTCTCTCTTACCACAGGAGGTCACAGCCCGCAATATATGAAAAACGGAGATTTCAAAGGGCAGCACCACTCAGCCACATGTTATATACAGAATAATCCACTATCTGACTATCTTACTGCTCTTGATGAATGCCTCTGGTCGGCTGTGAAAGGCTCGAGGTTGAGGCGCAGCTTCACTCAGTTACTTGACTCTTGAAAACTGGGTTGATTTATGACTAAACTGTGTAGCTGAGAAGTAACCAGGTTATCACTGTTCTGTTGGTCTGAACACATGTACACTCGCAGGTGGCAATTTTGTTCACCGGAGTGCACAATCAGTCTTTACCGCTCTGTTTCTGTGTGTGTATTCTCCTACTTTATCTTAATGTGCTTATGGCTATTCATTAGCAGCTGGTTAGACTGGCTTAGCAGTAAAAACAGGGACATGTAATTCTTAAACTCCTTAAAGTTAATGTTCCACGCGGTAAATCTGAAGAAAAATTGTGTATAAAGTGTAAAAACAACAACTTGACTTTTGGATGGCTGGACTGTTACCCATTCAGGGTCAGTGGTGGTTGAATAACTGCTCCGAGCCAAGAATTACTATTGAGAGTAACTCACTGATGCCTCCAGCTACATATTTACTATACAGACGTGCAAGCAATCTCATCATCTAACTCTAAGCAAGAAAAAGAATATTTTCCAAAATTCCTTTAACACAGAAAATGCTGGCTTGAATGCGAGCAGAAGTTCTTGTGCATTCATAATATTTGTATTCATACATGAAAATTAGCCTGAATGTGCAACCCTTAAGCGGTGACCAGTCATGATGGATGGGGTGAACTTTTCACCTTCAGTGTTACAGTTTATACCTTTCATTTCTGCGGTTTCATCACACATGCAGGGCTAAATTCCTGTGCTGAGTTTACACTTCAGCTTCTTGATTTTGTGTACCCAGCCTCTGAAAGTGGTTTGGAAAGAGGCTGCCACAAAATGTATCTAAATTACATTCTAATGAGCCCGAAACAGACACTTCCAAAGCAGCAGTTGATGAGATATTCACCGCTACAACAGAATGTATCTTAGCTAGGAGTGGTTCCAGTAAATCTGATTGTGTGAAAACAAAAATCGAAAGACTGGTACCTCTAAAGTGCAGTCTTTTATGCATATCAAAGTAAAAATACTATTACCGAGGTCTGCCAATTATAAGACACCAATTTCTATGCTTCTGAGCAAAGAGCTCTGCTTAACAGCTGCCTGGGGAATTAACTCACTTCCCTGCAGTTTCAGCTGCACCACATTTTGTCTTTAACAGTGCTGGAACTTGTTGGCATTTTCGCTCCTGAAATATCCACCCTTCTTGCCCAAGGGAAGCTTACCTTTCCTGGTAATGTGAGAGAAATCATTTTGTGACAGTGCAGCTCTCAGGGTACACAGCAGACAGAGGAAGTAATGTGAAAGGTAATCCAGAAGTCAAAATCAAAGAGAGTGAGGCAAGGGTCAAACTGAGTGAAATTACTTAGTGGTACTGACTAATGACCAGCTAGAAGAACTGACTGGGGCATTGCAAGACCAGTCAAGGACATGTTAGTTACAGGTGATTAAAGATGGAATCAATAATGTTCCGATAAATTTTGGACATAATGGGAAAAGGGGGGGAAGAGAAAAGAAAAAGCAGTGGAAGACAAACGCCACCTTCTGACCCACATCCCATGATTAGCTATGCACAAATTAGACTTCCTCCTCTCTGCTCACCATGAGTGAGAAGGAGATTATAAGTTAGCTGCTACTGCCACTGGTGAGCTGAGCTGCAGCTTGGAATGGGGTTGGTCTGCTCCTAGATTTGGGCTAGATTGGGGATTTCAAAGTCAAGAAAGTTCAAAGCCTTGGCTGGGGAACGTTCAAAAGAACCACAGCCAGCCATGAAGTGGAGAGGAAAGGAGGCGGGGGGGACAGCAAACTACTTACAGTAAACTCTCCCACAGCTGAAGAGAATGAGGTGGCTAACACTAGTGAAAATAAACCCTGCGCTCATGTGGTTTAAGTCAGCCAGAGGTGCTGAGCAGGAGTTTTTTGCTGACATGCTGGTGCAAAACTGAAGGCGGCAGCCAAAGTTTTGGTAGCGCAAATCATCAATAATACAGAATGTGGGATTGCATTTTCACTGAATTAAAATGGATGTTCTGAGCCATTGAGAACATCACGGCTGCTGCTGTTCACCTCAGAGACCCAATGAGATGGATTTTTGTTGCACATAGAACATTAACAATGTCTCTTGAAACGTTGCTAACATATTCTCACACCCACACTTTGTACTGCGGAGTGACACAAAGACCAAATGTGAGACCATTAAAACACATCCCTGTTTTTCTTTGTGAAACTGAACGTCCACCTACAAAACCACACGTCCAGTACAGCTCGCATTTCTGGTAGGGCATTCATTTCTTTCTGTGTCGACACAATGCCATTCATTCGGCAACAACAAAACCCGGGCAACACCCATGCACCCTGTGGACTAAAAACATCAATGAAATTCCCTTATTCTATGTGCCTGCAGAGATTTAAATATATGCACTTAAAAAAAAAAAAAGTTCATCTTCATAATTATACAGTATATCAATTAGTCTATGTACTGCTTTTGTGCTGAGGCACAGATCATCTATAACGAGAAACAGTCAAGTTATCTCCAGCAGACTACAAGGTAAATACCTGTCTGTATCTTGTTTGGTTCAGTGCCTACATTACCATGCACACCGATGCTGTGGCGTCTTCTTCTTCTTTCCATATTTTTGTTTCTATGTTTAGTGTTGCTTTCTATACTGTGACATATTTACACAGCATTATGGAAATCAAGGAGTGTCCCAATGCATTATCAGTGCAGAGCAGTGTATCAGTGCAGATCCACCCCCTGGCTTGTCCCCACTTATCTAAGCAACCTTCTCCTCAATGCTGTATAGATGTATGCTGCATGTTGCATTATGTATTGCATCTAACTTGTATTGTGTTGTTGCTTTTTTTATGCTGTTGTCTTGGCCTGGATTACAACTGCGAGATTTTTAGTCACATAAAAAAAATAAAATAAAAAATAAAAAATCGGATGCATTTCAAGAGGCATAAATACACAACAGACAGACACACGTGTGCATATGCTCAACACGCATTCATGATAAAAGTTTTCAGGCCAGCCGATGCCTGCTTACTGCTTTAGGGCTTTAGTGTTGGAATGAGCTCCAGCTAGTGCCTTTCTCTGTTGTTTTTCACCCTGATTCAGCAGTACTGGTCTTTACGCAGAGCCTCTGAAAGCTCAGTGGCCACAGGGAATGCCAGCTCATCGACTATTATAATGACGGCCCTCCCTACTGGTCTCCATCTGTCTCTGCCCTTCTCACCAACACACCATCCCAATTGTCTCCCCCTCTGTCTCCCTCTCTCTCTCTCTCTCTCTCTCTCTCTCTCTGTGTTTGTGATCTGTCTTTCTGTCCTTCTTACTGAACAAAGGCTGGTGTCTATGATGCAATTTTTTGGTGATGCTGAAAGTTCACAGTCAACAGAAATGCACATTCCCAAGGCAGGAATGGATGGATTAAAGATTTTGCTGTTTAGCAAATTGCGCACAAATATTATAATGAATGTTGCAGGCTATGTATGGGAACCGCTTTGTTAAGATGGGAGTAGTTTCAAAGCTTTGCAGTAAATCATCATTATTTTTCAATCAAATTGGTTGCGAGCTGTGACTTACCGTACTCCACAACACAGAAGTAAAACAGCATAAAATAGGGGCAGTACACAGAAGTTGCTGATGAAGACCTTATTGCATGCTTTGTAAACTAAAGGACATGGAGGACTAACCTTGAGTTTGTCAAAGCGCTCTGTGAGTGAGGACACCTGGTGCTCTCTGTGGCGTCCCACCAGCTTGCAGAGGGCACAAATGAGCTGGTCGTCCACCAAGCAGTACATGTTGACCTTCTCGTTCTCATGCTCCAGGCAGGTCAGGCCACGGATGTGAGTGTCTGGGACGGGCTCCACCAGACGGTGGCTGGTGAAGGGCTTCTTGTTCGGATGTGTTGCACGCAAGCAGCGGTCACAGTAAGATACCTCGCATGTGACACACGTCTTTACAGCCTCGCGTGGCGGATCCTGCTCGCAGAACTGGCAGCTGATTCGCGGATCCATCTTAGCAACAACAGCTGGGCTGTGGTTAGCGTTGGTGTGGTTGGTGTGATTGGCGTGATTGGCGTGGTTGGCGTGGTTGGCGTGCGAGTGGGAGTGGCTGGAGGTGGCTGGGCTGCCACGGGCACTGCCTCCACTTGTGCCACCACTGCCGCCAATCGTTCCAGCTATTGTACCGCTAATGGTGGCGGTGTAGGGCCGCTGCGGCTGCAGACGACGGCTCTCAGTGGGGGAATTGGGGCCGCTAAGGGAGGCCTTTTGAAAGCGGTCAATGATGTTCTGCAGCGTCACATTGCGCTTAAGGCCCTCCAGGCCGCGGTGATTCAGCGTGATGACGTAACGACACGTGGGGCACTGAAAGGCCGAGATGGATTCAAGGGGCTTGCTGGTGGAGCAGTGAGACACCAGGATGCGGTGAGCACAGTTAAAGCACAGGCTGTGGGCACAGGGCAAGAGCAGGGGATCTTCAAACAACTCCAGGCAGATCGGGCAGGTCAGCTCAGACTCCAGTGTTTCCATCTTCAGTTGAACCAATCTAAAGGTGACATCAAATCCCACGGAAGCTGGCCAATTACCTGCATGAAGAAAGAAAAGATATGTATTCAAATAGGGCTTTAATTAGCTGGTACTTTTGTTCTTGGGCTACATTTTATTGAAGAAATCAGCAGGAAAAATACATAACTCATCAGTTTGCACGTTCACCCATTTCTGATTTTACCTGAATCAGCTGTGAGATACTGGCTTCAGGAAAGATGGACTGGCCTGTGCCGATTAAGCAGATCCACCCACTAACACACACATTTTCTTGTACTATTACAGAAGAAGTGCTCAGCTTGCACAACTGTGGAGTCGGCCCGTCTTGTTCAAGCTTTCATAATGTGATTTCTCTTGAAGAGTCTTATGAGAAGCGGAATGACTGAACGAATACTGAGGAAAAAGGTAGAGGTTGGCTGAATGGTAGAGAAGAGGTAAAAATCAGTGGAGTGGAGAGAACAGCAGAGAAAGGAAGAAAGAGATACCCAGCAGAGCAGTAGAGAAGGACAGAGAAACTTAGAGAAAAGGTCCATTGCAATTCTGTAACACTTTGACTCCTAACTTTACAGTTTTTATGGTAAGATCAGCTTGACTTATCAAGCAATAAACATTTAACTCCAAGGATATTTCAACGTTTAAAGTCTGATTCCAACAGCAATTTATTGCAGGGCAGTGAAAACAGGGGCAGAGCTTACCAAGAAAATTGATTTGAGATCCTCCCCCCTTGTTCTCCAGGCCCTTCAAATCTCAGCACCTTGCAGCCTGCATATCAAGCTGTTTCTCTGCGGTGGCCTTAAAATCACTGACATGAAAAATCACTAATAACCCCCACCCCCTACACCTCCACCCTGCTGATTCAGTGGCACAGGTGCACAGCTTGCAGTGGCCGTCTATCCTTTACAAGAAACAAACCAGGCACCATGAAACAGCAGCATTAAACCAGACAACCCCAGATAGCCGACAGTGACAATTTCATTAAGCGAGGTTGTTCCTGAAAGACTGTCCTTGTCTCCCTCTGTGCCAGTCAAGCAGGATTTACTGATGACTTGTTTTTAGTGGTTACAAGTAATTAAGACACAGCAAAACCATATATTGCGGAAAGGTAAGAAAATACAAGGGACATTAACACGATTTGACCATTTTTCTACACAGATCTAAAAGACATTTCTCCAAGATTTAAAAGAAGAAATTAAAAAAGTGCTGAGCATAAAATGCACGAGCACTTTCTTACAATGAACGCGTATACACACTTTTATCCAGAAATGGAACATTTGGCCTCCTGTTTTTCCATTTTAAAACTTCAAGGCTAGTTCAGTGCATTGTATTCTGCCAACTCTTTTCACTGTATCGTTTAATGAATAAAATATTTATAAAAAATAGCAACTTCTTTTAATCCATGATGTTTTTGCTTTACTTGTTCTGTCCAGAAGCTAAAAAACTATTTACTGTCACATGTGACAAAGAAATGCATGAAATCCTCACATTACTCGTGTTAGAAGTATTTTTTTTCTTGAAAAACGACCAAAACAATTAGTTGATTATCAGAATAGTTGCAAATAAGTTTTCTATCAATCAACTATTTGATTAACTGATTTAATATTGCAGTTCTGCAACAACATGCTTTGTGCATTGTGCAACTGGGTTGATGCTATTACCTTAATCAGTTCAGCCTGACACCAGATGGGCAATAAAATTTACAGCTTATTGACAAAACACCTTGCTGAAGTGTGGCATTGTCCTTACCATCTCATAATAAGAAGTAATGAATTACCTGTGACCTCCACAGGCCATAAGTTCATTGTTCTGTGACATTATTCTAACTTGGCAGCATACATTCAGTGAAACTACTTGAAAACTAAGAAAAGACACATCTGTAATCTGTGAAACCATCAAAGGACCGAATGAAGAGGGGCCTGCATAAAGACAGAAACAAAGCAGAACAGCTTAAACTCATTTGTGCTAACTAAAGTCTCCTCCCTTCTGCTGCACCAGAAACAATGCCTCGACACTGAGCTGTGTTCAAAGCAAACATGATTTGAGCAGCAGTTTTAGTGCTTGGAAAAGGCACTCAACTGAAGAAAGTAGTTATACGCATGCAGTGGCTTTGTTACCGAATTCATTATCTGGAAAAGAAATAAATAACTGCCCTCAGCCAATCATGCAGATATTACGCTGATAAAAGGCAAAGGGCACACTGCTTGTGTGCAAATAAGTGTACGTGTTTGAGGCTGTATTGGAGTATATATTCCAAGTACATACTAAACTGTGCGTACGTGTGCACATGCACATAATATCCTCCTTCAATAGCCACCTCTTGGCTGGTATTTATCATATGCTTTATGTGGAGAGAGAGATTTCAGCGACAAGCTACCACCGAGCAAGTCAGCATAAGGTTCTGCTTCATCACACCAACAATAGGTCTAATTTATCTCCACTGTATCAGATAGTTGATAACCTGAGGCAAATGGACAAATGGAAATAACAAGAGAAATGGGATATGGGAGGAGGTGATGTGGAGAGGCAAGGACAACTCTTAGGAGTTGTTGATGACAACCAAGGTCAATGGCCCTTCAGTGTGCAGACTCAAGGTACAAACGGGGCATAATTCACCACCTCTAGCCTTTACACTAGACATGAGCATTGGCCTGTTACTCCTACAGTGACATTTGTTTGCTTGTCAGCAAGATTATACAAAAACTACCCAGTAGACTTTACTCAAACTTGGTGGACAGACTATTTTTTATGATAATTCTGGTGCAGATCTGGATCACTTTAGTTATTGTTACAAGGGAGGGCATAGGTGGAGGACTGTACTCTCCAAATGCTCTGCTAGTTTTCATTTTATTACATTTACATGCATTTAGCAAGTAAAATATGGGTAAGAAAAGCATTTGTTGCATACTTTAAAAATATGCACGTTTTTACTTCATTCTACAATATCAACTTTAACAAAACAATGTGCCAAAAATCTGAGTTATTCAAGGGAGAACAGACTTAGGGTGAGTAGGAGTTCAGCTGCATATGACTGAACCTCAGTGGTGTATATCAACAACAACAACAAAACAAGGAACGCATTCATTAAGCTCCTCTGGACAGACGTTGATTCAGATGACTGTATGATCATGTGAACTTTATTCTAAAGTTACATAAAACTGAGGGCAACATACATTATCACCAAGAAGGAAAGTCAGTCAGTAAGTTGTTATTAGATGTCATGTTCTGAAAATCATGCCTGTTAAATAAAATCAAGGAAAAGTCAGACAAATGTCACAGTTCCTTTCTTGCTCCCAGAAGTAAACTCAATTTACTGCCTGACTGTAAATCTGCCATAGGAGTGGCATCATAAGTAGACAGAATCAAACCCTCGTTTACCAAGTCCACCGGGTCAAAAGACAGTGTACGGTCACCACGTCGTTTCTTCATGACCGTCCAATTCAAGTGTTGACTGAATCAGCAGTCTCACTTTTTTCCCGAGGACAGAGCTCAACAGCACAGCTTATGCTGATGTTAATGTGACTGTGTTTAACGGAGCATGGTGTTATAATTAACACCGAGCTTTAACACACCATCAACAGGCCCATTAAGCTTTAGCTATGTCACTCTGGGGAGACAATGCTGGCTATGATGGGAGCCACTTAGGGACTGTATCGCCAGCTTCATGGTAAAGGCGTTCTGTTGTGCAGACAGGCTGGCACGGATACACAAACGCGAAGACATCCACAAAACCATGAGCGCACACACAGCCAGAGCCACGTATTTACAAGCACAAAGTCTTTCTGTCTCGTTGTCTCTCTTCATCTGCCATTCTTGTTAAGGTGAAGTGTCCCATCTGGAAGGAGAACAGCTTGAGTTGGTGCTTGAAGAGAAACACACGGCACCACACAAACCCAAACACACACACACACACACACACAGAGCCATAAAGCACTAACTCTAATCTATTGTTTTGTGCTGATTATTGTAATAAGATTTTGGTCTTACTCAGAGCTTTTAGTGAAGTAGATAAAACAAAAAAAGAGAGAACATGATTGATGATTCATTAGTCTGTGAAGAAGCTCGATATACACACTCAGACTGTAAATTTTTTATCTGCTTATGCTCTATGCCTTTACCTTGCAGTTGCGCTTTTATGTGACTGTATCAAGTGTATACGCGAATGGAGGTTTACACTTCAATTAGATCCAATAAATGTGGCAGCAGTAATGAATTCCACTAACAGATTGCAAGACATGACCTTGGGGAATGCCCCGAAATAGAAAAGTGATGTCACGCTTTCTGTCAGTTCATTATCTTGCAAACACTGAAAACAATAAAAGAAGCAGTTTATTTATTAAAAGCACAGTCCCGGCTCCCCTGGGTGTAAGCCTGCATGTGTATGAATTCAGTTTGCTGACGCATGCATCAGTCTAGAGAAACGACATTCGCGGAACAAAGATGATTATCCTTGTATAAACAATCTACTTGTAAAAGCCAAATTGCTCCCGCCTGAATTGCAGTCGCACAGCTGCAGAGCCAAAATGGGAGCTTAATGGACACTTGATGATGGTGGGATGAAAGGAGAACAGTCGAAACAAATCACCACACCTAGACCTTTGGGCCAAAGATACAAGTGCGGTCCCACTGCAGCGGTTTTATTTATTTTCTAAGGGAGTATTGTCAAAAACACAAAAGCTCAAATTGTTGCATTCCTTGCTGATAATGTCAGTGGCTTTTATTTGCAATAAATGTTTAGCTTGTAAATGACATTACCTGGATGTTCCATTCTCTGTTTTTTTTAATAGGGCTGCGTAATGACTATTTGTCAACTGATAAATCTAGAGACAATTTGTCTAATTAGGTGAATACTCTAAACTAAAACAACAACAACAAAATGACTATTTCATTTAAGCTCATGTTTTTTTTTTTTAGATAAACTGCATAATTCAGCTTTACATATTAAAATGCAGAACTGCAGCTTTACACTGGCAACTCAAACAACATAAACATACATATAAAAGAGGGCTCATTATTTGAGTCAGCAGTGCAGCTCCAAAACAAAT